GGGTGTGGGTGGGTGTAGGTGTGGGGTGTGGGGTGTGGGTGTGGGTGTGGGTGGGTGTAGGTGTGGGGTGTGGGGTGTGGGTGTGGATGTGTGTTTAACTTTTCTTCATCTAGGCCTGCAACCACACTCACACCCCACATCCACTCACACCCATACCCGCATCCAAGGGGGAAACAGCTGACTTCAAGACTTCAAGACTTCACGAGACTTCAAGAGACTTCAAGCATAGCGACTTCAAAATTTTCAAAGACTTCAAAAGGTTTTTGAGACTTCACAGGACTTCATAAGACTTCAAGGGACTTCAGGAGACTTCAAGGGACTTCAGGAGACTTCAATGATTTCATGAGACTTCACGAGACTTCATAAGACTTCATGAGACTTCACGAGACTTCATGAGACTTCATGAGACTTCATGAGACTTCAAGAGACTTCAGAAGACTTCAATAGACTTCGAGACTGTAGAAGTGTTTGAGAAGCTTTAGAAACCCCGTGAACGGAGGTGTGTCAGATTATGGACATCGTATCTCAAAATTCTCAACCTGATTTTATTAGCCTGAGAATTAGCACTCCTTCCTGACTATTTTTCAGAAGTTTATTTTATATTTTATCAGAATTCAATATATTATACCTGAGATACGTCTCAGGCATCAAAAGAAAAATTTTCCGCCGTTTTATTAGAAATTCTTATAGGCTGATAGAGTTAAGTGTGTTGGTTAGAAATATCACATTTTTTTGAAAACCAGTCAGATAGAAAGAAAGATCTGAAGTACTTTCTGAAAGTCCTAAAACATAATTTTCGTCCTGAAAGTCCTTTAAAATCTTATTTGGTTCTTTGAAAATAGTCTCATTCGATGCAAAAAAATTTTCTCCATTAGAATCTGTAAGAAAGTTTTATATATTGAAAACTTTTTTTATCGATAAATACCGAATACCACCCCGATCTGATCATATTGCTTCAACCAGTGATTTTTTGCCTGTTAGAAGTCATCGTTTATACGAGTGCACAATCGAAATTTTTTTGCTGAATACGTAATTTAGTGTGTTCTTTCTGACCACCCGTTTACAACTTGAAACTTGATGTCTTGTAAAGCACTTTTCTCTGCTCACTATTGTTAACACCCAATTTATGTCATTTTTGACTGATATTCGACGACCACATTAATTCGCATTTGGCTTCAAAAAAATATTAAATTTGAAATCAGTATTAAAAACTTAGTCGATCTATGTGTGTTTGAAATTTTTTCTGCAGCTTTTTAGGGTAAATTGTTTACTCTTTAGTCCCTCTCAGGGACAGGTGAAAAAATTACTTTACTCAAAAAACTATGTTGGTGATGTAAAGGAATTTTTAAACTTATTAAATGTCGTTTGACGACAAAAAGACCATTGAATAACCTATAAAACAGTTGTTTTGATTAGGCTTCTGTTTATATACCCCGGAGGGTGATTAGAGAGTAAAAATTGACCCAGAAAAAAGCAGCAGAAAAAATTTCAAACACACATAGATCACCTAGGTTTTTTTATGCGAATTTCAAATTTAATATCTGTTTCAGACTAAATGTGGAATAATCTATTCGAAAATTGTCGAAAATTAGTGAAAAATCACACAAATTGGATCCGAAGAGTAGTATTTGAGCAAAAATGCTTTACTATACAGCGAATTTTAAGTTGCAAACAGTTTCATTACAGAGAGTACATTCAATTATGTATTCGATAAAAAAATCTCGCTGATGCACTCATATAGACTATAATTCAAGGGGGAAACGGCTGACTTCAAGGCTTCAAGACTTCAAGACTTCAAGACTTAAAAAGACTTCAGGAGACTTTAAGAGACTTCATGAGACTTTATGAGACTTCAAGAGACTTCAAGAGACTTCAAGAGGCTTCATGAGATTTCAGAAGACTTTAAAAGACTTTCAAGACTTCATGGGACTTCACGACCGAAGTCTCTGCTGTTTCCCCCTTGGTTTTAACACTATGGAAATTATTACAACAATTTATTGATCAATAAAAACATTTATTAAATAATTACGAATATTTATATAGATTTTTTAATTTAACGAGAGATTTACATATGTAGATGGATGAAATGATTAGACAAATGAATAATAGTTTAAAACGATGTGATGCTAGTGGAGTAGATTTATTAATGAATAATCATCAAAGTTTAAAAGTTGAAATTGATGTTCGACAAGAAAATTTTACTATGTCTATTAATTTAGGTATGTTTTTGCTTTCGAGAAATAGAATCTAAAAGGAAATGTTCAACTAACCGAATACAAATTTGAACTTAACTGAATCGTTCGTAATTAATTTGAGATACTACGAATCGAACTGTATCTATCTTTGAAATATTCCTTCATTTCTTAATCGAATAATATGATCAGCAAAAGCTATGAAATATTGGTTTAAAATTAGAATTTTATGTTTTTTTTTCGTAACATAGGTTTGAAATTTATATTAGACATATACTTTTGGAGTTATGAGCACATCTATGGAAGCTCTGAAAATAATGTTTAAACGGATTTTAGAGCACAAAAAAAAAACAAAAAAAAAACTGTAGCTTCTCAAAAGAGATACTTTTTAATTAAACATCATAGTTATTTAAAGTTTCATATAGCTATTTAAAATGTGACGCCTCTACTATACAATCGTAACTATTTGATTCAAGTAGCTATTTAAAACATTGATAGCTATTTAAAGAAATGTATACAGTTATTAAATTATTTAAATAGCTGATTCTGATTTCTTTCTTATAGAAATTCGAATCAGTTTTTATTGCATGACTGACTATCGAAAATTTGTAAATTTATTTTTTCGCGAATAGTTATTAAACACCTCAAATTGTTATGATAATTTTTTAATAATTCTAGTTTTGAATAGCTCATAAAAAATAATGTACATTAATAGACTAAATGTTGAGAATGAATGGTGTAACTATTTGAACAATAATAAATACTTTTCATTCAATTCCATAATCTTCGTAACTTCTGCTCGAAAAGAATCAGTAGCATTAAAAATAACAGATCGCATTAATTGGAATGGTTGCTTGTGAAAACATATATTATATAGGTAAAGAAATACATGAGAGATATTTAGTTAGCTATGAGCATGTTTATAGAAGAATTCTGTATTAAAAAAATATCTGTTTTGAAAATTAGATATTTGAGGGGTACGTAGTGGTGATATATTAGATTGAATCACTATGATATTTTCATTTTGGATTTTTTTCCCAATCTTCTCTACTCGAGAACGATTAGCAACGTTAAAAAAAACAAGTAAGGTTCATCGACGTTAAAAGTCGATTCACTGGGCCCTAGACTGAGCAAATGAGACAACTGCTAGTACATTGCAGTACCAAACATTTTCATTCAAATTCTCACTATGAAGAAGAATGTTCCATTTGATTCGAGTGACATTAACAAGATGAGATGAAGTAAAAGGATTCAGCAAAACAAAGTACTGGGAATAAAACTAACAGATAATACAATCTTTTAGTCACTGAAAACATTCTCTTACACCACTTGTTTTAACGACATAGTTGCTTATAGTTGCGTGNTAGGTTTCTCAAAAATCTAGTCGGTGAACATTTGCGGATCGTTAAATGATCGATCGCTCTCTACTATGTGCATCAATTATAGATTGTCTCGCAGAGTATGCTGGGTTTGAATTTATCAGATGTTGAAAGCGTTGGAGTGTATGATAATTATGCATCTGAAATAAGTTAAACATACGAGAATAGGATGGATGAAGATAATATAGACTAGCCATTGAGGAAGTTTGCGATTTAATTCGAGCAAAAACTTGCAGAATAGAAGCAGGCTAAAACTCGACATGAAGCGCCGAAAAAAGTACAAAGTGCTATTCTATCACTTTCGGCTGTGCACATCACTCAAACCATTATTTCAATCCCTTGCTGGTATCACTCGAGAAAAATATTATTTGATGTGTCTGAAGAGTCGAGTCCTGCACATTTGACTCGACTCGGTTTCGGTCTATGACCTACACCCACACCCACACCTTGAATATTATGGAGTTATGAAACAATTAAAGGGATCTTTGTATCTTATTCATAATCTCTTTTTCTTTTTCATATTATCAATTGAACAATTTAAACATGATCTTTCTTTCTGTTTATTCAATTGTGATAATTACGAACAAATATATAAAATTTTCGACAGTTAATACTAAACAGACTTTTGTTTTTTGATTATCTTTTATACGGTTTATTTTTATTTAACAATATAATAAAGAAAAATCTTTTTATTGAAGAAAAAAAAAGAAAAAAGTTTTAGTTATAATTAAAATATCATAGACATTAGTTTGCTCTATCAGACTGAGTATTGAAAATAAGAGATAAATAGATCATTGATCTATTACAGACTTCATCTTGTTTTACATGAAATATCTGAGAATAAAGGTTGTTCTTCTTTTCAACGAAATAACTTCTCTTATACAAAAAGAAAACGAAAAAAGAATGAAATAATTAGTGAGCTCGAAGTTATTTCTGTTGTTTTTTGTAAAACAAATGCCTTGTGGAAAGACAGGTTTCTTGTTGTGCGTGTCAATGATAAGACCGATTTCTCGTCTATAGAAGAAAATTTTTCTGCATAAATATCTATGAATGGTTTATTTTTCTTTTGAATAATATATAGATATGTGTAATAAAGTTAGTTTTTATTTTTTAGATAATAATAATGATGACAAATGATTCATCACAAATAACTAATTCACTAATAATATCAGTATGTCTTAGTTTCATTGCATTAATAACTGAAATTGGAAACATAATCGTAGTTTTGGTTTTTTATTATGATAAAAAGTTATGAACTGTTAATCGTAATTCAATAAATTTATTTTATTTTATTTAAAACTTTCTTTGTTTTTTTTTCTTTTAAAGATTATTTTATAATGAATATGGCAATAGCTGATTTTTTAGTTGGTTTCTCCTGTATTCCATTTTATATTCCATTTAGGTTTTTATATTTATTTTAATATCGAAATAAAACTTTTATTTTACTCTTTTTTAAAATAATTTAATGTAAAACAATCATGGCCGTTTGGGCGTCTTTTTTGTAAAATTTGAGTAATATTATTTACTATAAATAATATTTATAAAAAGAAAATTCTTTAATTAGGTAATAGTAGATGATGCAGCAACAATGGCTACTGTTGTTATTGGTATCGTAGCCATTAGTGTTAATCGTTATTGGTCAACAGCTTATCCGATTTCTTATAGAAAATATGTTCGACAATATTTTGTTTATTTAATTATGACAGCCGTTTGGTGTCTTTCGTTTAGTATATGATTTATTTACTAATCAAAAAACAAATTAAGAAAAATAGTTTTAATTAATTTTGCTCCTAGTATTTGGTTAATAAGTTTATTTGATAAAAATGAAGAAAATCGAAAAGATTGTTCCGGTGATTATAATCATGCATTTATTTATATGTTAATAGAACAATTTAATTGTTTTATTTGACCATTTATTATTTTATGTATACTTAATTTATTAATTATGTTAAATATGTAGAAAAGAACAAGAAAAATGACTAATATTAAAACGTATAATTCAAATAATAAGAAAAATTTTTCTAATCAACCAAACATTAGAAGAATTGATCCTTCTTATTTAAATCGTCGTAAATTGTTTAGAATAAGAAGAGAATCTTCATTAAATTATCTTGAAATAATAACGTATAAAACAAATTTTATTCAAGAATATTCACCAATAACTCAAAAAGCAACGTCGAATTAATAAAAAATGTTCAAATTTATATTAAGAAATAAAAGGATATGTTTTATTTATTTTTCTTTAACTATACATATATTTTTTATTTATTGAAATTTTAAATTAAAAAAAAGAAATAATAATTCAATACGAACTTCATCTCAATAAGAAATTTTATTAAGTATATCTTTAAATAAAAAATCTGAAAAATGTAATAATTCTTCTTTTGTTATTTAATTCGTACTTTTTAACACAGGTTCATCATCATCGTCATCATCATCATCATCTTCATTATCATCATTTTCATCTTCATCTTGAGTTAAAGGTTCTTCCAGGCTTTTCGGACTTGACTTTGCTGCTTTGAGTCGTTTTTTTGTTAATGGTGTATAAATAATTAGTGGTATTGCATTCAAACTTGTCAAATCTAAATCGGTGAAAGCTTTCAACCACGACGAGTCAATAATACCACTAGGTTTTTGTTCTTGCAATAGAATTTCTTTGATTATAAATAAGTTTCCATCTTGTCTTCCCACTGTTCCAATAATAGAACCAAATAAGAACCTAAAATGAAAAAGGCATTAAAATATCCATTAACCAAAAATATACTATCGAACAAAGAAAAAGGTATGTGGTTTTTGAGAAATAAAAATGTCCTCACCTTTCGATAGCATTACCCACTTCGGCGGATAATGCATGCGTTGCTGGTGTGCTAAAAAGTTCATTTCGTTTGTTCATGTGTAATCTATTAGATCTCATAAGACGGCCACTTTTAAAAATGCTTGCGTGACCAAGTTCGTGTAATGTTTTAGCAAATAACAGAAATGTTTGTTTAGCTATAGTTGTGCTTGAAGTTCGTTTTGAATTTTCTAAACTCAAAATACCATTGATCATTGTTGTACCGTATAAAATTTTATCATCTGTATTTGATGAATCGATTGACTCATCGCCACGAAAATTGCTATAATCGTCTGTTAAACTCTCAACATCATATTGCAAATCTTGCACTAATTGAGATAGAAAGTATTTAATGCGATCAGAATATTGTGAACTCGTCTTTTGATCGAAAATCTTGACCAATCTTAGTTCTTGTATTGCCGCATGTGCAAAAAATACGTTCAAATGTTGATTGTCTATTAAATCTTCGACCATATGAAGTGCTTTGATGAATGATGAAGATTGTAATAATAACGCATTAATTCGTTCTGAATTGAAATATTTAAATCTCGTTGGTATTGACTGGTAAGAAAAGAAAAAAAGCTTAAGAATTAACAAATAGTTGATTTATTTTTGTGAGAAAGAAAATTAGACACAGTAGATACATTTCTTATATCATACTTGATCTTTAGAAACAACAGTATAACATTTAATCAGATATCAGTAATGAAAAAGAAATGACTAAATTCCCTCAAAATACAGAATAGGCCAACGAGGAAACATTTTCAACTGTTCAATCAGTTATTTTAGTGAAAGACACTGTTTTATAGTTTATCGACTGTGCTGTCACAATAATTAGAAAGACTTGCTATTTTGAATTGAAGTTATCAGGATATTTTACTCACAAAGGAACTCGTTTGCGAGCAAAATTTCAGCCCGAAATATCATCATTCAATTATTTGTTATGTACTATACCATAGGGTTAAATTGCGTTAAAATGTCGATAACTATAAAGAGAAGATCTGAGAGCAATTCTAATACCCATATTTCGAATCAAAATAGTCGATAAATTGTAAAACAGTACCTTTCATTAAAAAAACTGATTGGACAGTTAAAAATGTTCCCTCGTAAGAATAACGTCATGATAAAAATGAAGTATCTTCATTGCTACTCAATCAAATAGACTGAAATGATGACGAGTGATAGAAGTTTATAATTTTTTGATACGAATAAGTTAAGCCAATATTGATTTGAGGTATTTTTGTTAGCTTCATGAAATCAATGTGAACCGTTGTCAAGTAATAGAACTAGATGCATGGTATTTCATGGATAACCTTTAATTGTCATCTAAGAAAATAGTGACAATTGATCAAAATGAGCTTTGTCAATAATATTATGCTGACTCACTGACAGTATTTTTTCCGTACTGACTAGTTCAAAAGTCAGTTATTAAGAAAATTTTTCATATTGAAACAATGAAAATTGACCTTAGCAAGAAACTATATTTTGGTACCAAAGGGGCTGCAATTTTGCGCTTCACCAATTGTTTACTGCTTTCAACCTATCAGTTAACTAATTTAAAAATATTGCTGTGTTCTCAGTATAGTATCATTCAATAAGGTTCTCATGAAGTTCTTATTATTCTTTTAGAGAGTAACTGAAAATGATCTATCATATGCTTCATCTGTCTTTTTTCTTGATCGATATTAGTAGTATTAATTTACATTATTTGTATGCGAAGAACTTCAAGTAAACGTTGAATACTAACAAAAGAATGAGCCCATTCGAATGTGCTGAAGTGAAGATATTTTCATTTTTAGTTAAATACTTTTTAATGTCATTCCTATTTATTAAAAAACAAACATTCTGACGATACAGACAAACAAGAGAAGACATTCTGAAAATTTGGTTAGATTTAAGAATACTATGCTTCAAGTGTGTAATATAAAAGAAAACAAAATATGCTTACCATTTGTTTATCAGTTGTGAAATCATTGTTTGCTGTTGACGTGATTTCCTTCTCAGTTAAAACTTAAAAATAAAGGAATCTTTTACTAAATGATAAGTATTCTTATTCGATATCATTATTAACCAATTTTCTGTCGACACATCAATCTTTTGTACTACCACTACTAATTGAAAGTGATTTACTGTAATCTACAAGTTGAATATCCGCCTTCGCATGGATACGACACTAACGGGTAAGACTAAATCATTCTTGTTCAAGCTGAATATTGCTGCGAACATGTGTATCCACATATTACTTCAATTAAAGGAGTAACTCGACCCATAACTTGGACATTGATGCCAGTTGCATTATTTTATCACTCTAATAATATCCACATGTACATGTCACTACCAAAAAACTCTTATATACTACGTAGTCACCTCAAAAAAAGAGAAAAGAGACATGGTGTCAAGATCAACGTTAGGAGAAAAATCATGGAGAGAAAAGTCAAGACAACAACTGTAGTCAGATCTATAGGGTATTTATTGTTATATTTAGAAAATAGAAATCTTCGCCTTCAATAAGTGGACTTAATAATTAATTGAACAAAATCGATTTATACTCACCGTATTCATCTGAAGATGATCGTTTTCGTGTAGACATCAATTAATCAATAAATAAAAGAATGTGTAGATCTATAAATTAAAAAGAAAAGAAAAGAAAAACACATTTCTGGTTTATTAAGGTCATCAACAGCAGACTTTGATTTAAAAAAAAGGAAAATTAAATCAGCCAATATTTATAGTAAACTTTTCTTCTTAACATATTTATTACTTGATCTAAAGCTAGGTTTGCTAAAAAAATAAATTTAAAAAGTGAAATATCTGGAAAAAAACTATTTGGCGAATGTTTTAGGCTATTAATTTTTTAATATTTACCTAACCATACGTCCACACTCCAAGCAGGTTTCACCAAAGATTCACAAGTAAGACTCGCGTCAGGATTCATTGTTACAAGTTTCGGATGATTCTTTCGACAAGTATCTTTGATTTGCAGAAGATAATGACGAGATAAAATATTTCTCGAGATATAAGAAAAAGTTAATTTATGTTCGATTTATTTTCAACTGTTCTGCGCATACATTTCCACATAAGTACAAACAAAATCAAATAAAAAAAAAGTCAAATTAGGCTCACAACGAAGAATTTTTGGCACAATTGCAAAAGAACCACACTCTATATGAATTAGTGTATTTGACAGGGCACATCAAAGAGTGTGAATGTCACAACGCGATTCTTCCGCAATTTCACACTTCTTTATGATTTGGATGAACTAAGAGAAATGAAAACTATATATGCATTGTCACTAGCACCTATGTGTCATGTGATAGACACAAGTAGCCATATCTAAATAATATGAAAAGTACTATTTTGAAGAATTCGTAATCTCTTTTCAAAAGAATCTTCAGTTTTACGAAAAATATAAGAATATAGGAAAAAAGTTTGTAATATAGTCAATTATGGGAAACATTTCAACAATACAGGAAATATAGGACAAGTACAAAGTCAACTCAGCTAGATTTTTAGATGGATATATCGTCTTATGAGATGAATGACATTTATTATAGTGAATTAATTCACTCTAAAAAAACCAAGACACAAGATATGCATACATAAGACAGTTCATGCGCTGATACAAGACACTGAACAAATTCTGATTGGTTCATCTGTCTTTCATTTAGACATTTCAAGTGTCAACGGATGACCGATTTTATACATTTGATCGTCTTAGTCGCTTCTGGTTGGATTCTCTACACCAATAAGAGAAATGTCTTACACGTATCTTACTTAGACATTTCGTCTGATCAACGAGTTGCTAATTCCAGAAATATTTTTCATAAAACAATTCAAAATTTATCCCATCATTTTTTTCAAAGTTAGCTTCACATCTTATCGAACATAATGTAAAAAATTTTTGATTTTCTTTATAAAATGTTCAATTGAATTTAAAAAATAATCGATAAGAAAAAATGTAACATTATTTTATAAAAAATATTTTTTTTTTATTCCACACTATTCGTATCGAAACGCAGTTATTCCTGGAATTAGCAACTCGTTGATCAGCCGAAGAATCAAAGAGAAATGAATCAAAGTTGTTTTGAAGATTTATGGGTAAATATATGTTCGAAATATTAGTGTAGTCTAGAAAAATAAATATAAGGTAGCGACATATGAAGGTATTCTAAAATAAAATAAGTATTACTTATTTTAATAGTTATAAGTATGCACAGGAAAGTTAGAACTAGGCGAGAATGTACATTAAAAATCTATAAAAAGTAAACAATCTTCGATACAAAGCAAAACTTACTATTCAATCAAGTAAGACTAGCAAACGAAATGTTACGTAAATATGTACTAAAACTTAGGTTACTTCTAAATGAACAATAATGGCCAAAGTAATTATTTAAAGCTACTGCTTTTAGTCGATTCTAAAACAGTTGTATCATTTTAAAATATTTTACATGAAATGTATTTTAATGCATTTACATGCTTTGTGTGTGATTCGCTAGTCGTGCTTGAATTAGAACAAAGCACAAGACCTTTTAATATCTTTTCTACTTAAGTGTCTAAAAAAATAAGACGCATCAATATCTATTTGATTCAAGTGTCTGAAACTAAGACGCATCTCACGTCTCAACTAGACTATAGACGGATACACCGTCTTGCAAGATACATGGTATTTTTAGAGTGATTTCTGTATCAAAATAATCCAGATACGGCAGCACGTTCTCTCTATAGAATAATGAGGTGCCATCAAACAGTGATGACTCCTCACTGATGAGTCATCAAGCCAATGTCGTATGATGAGCACACACACTTGTCACACTAATGCAGTAGTTAGTTAGTGATAGATACCCGTCGTCAGAAGTGAACCAAATTCGAGTCCACACTTTATACATACATTACATCCAGGTTCACTGATAATTTGTGTAGAAACTTCACAAAAGATGTCGCATGCGACTGAGATAATTTTGATGCATTTAATAATTATTTTCTTCAATTCTTTTCGCTCTGAGTACCTATTCACAAACTTGGATTAACGTTGACTTTGTTTTCTAACGTCTGTAAGTTCAAGTTCAGATTGTTGAATCAAAATAGCTGAGTATCATTTTACAAAAAAAACTTAACAAGAATTTAATATTGCAAATTCGTAGAAGTTTAAAAGCTTCCTGAACATAGTTCGTATTTTGCTAGTATCATTTTATAAGTGCATGTAAAAATTTATTAAATTTGCAGAGTATTTCAAGGACTCTCCCTCGGACAAAAAAAAAACGGCCTTTTTCCATTTGATTTTTTCATCACTTAGTATATTGTTTTAAAAAAACAAAATATACCACAAGATGCAGCGTGAAAAGAACTACAATCTTCAAAAGACAGCTTATTTTATAATTGCAATTTTTGTTTTCAAAATGGGCCAAATTCTGAGCCACTAATTTTTGACATTTCGAAAAAAATAATTTTTTTGGTACACAACGAATTCGTTTTTTTCTTGTTTCATCTTTTTATCATTTGATATGCTTTACTAAAAAGAAAAGAAAATACATCACAAGATGCAGCGTGAAAAGCTCTACAGTTTACAAAGAACAGTTTATTCTATAGTTGCACTTTTGTTTTCAAAATGGACAAAATTCTGTGCGACTATTTTTTGACCCCGCAATCAAGATCATTTTTTGGTACACGATCAATTTCTTTTCTTATTGTTTTGATTAATGAATTGTATCTAAAGCCATAATCGATGGCCGAACAATGAGATAAAGTTAAAAATAAAGATTCATTAATTGATGACATAAGGAAAGGAATTCATCGTATGCCAAAAAATGATCTTTTCCGTAGCATCAAAAATTAGTCGCACAGAATTTCGTCTATTTTAAACACAGAAGATTCATATATAAAATAAGCTGTTCTTTGTAAATTGTGGAGCTTTTTATGCTGTAGCTATGGCTTATTTTATTTCTTTAATAAAGCATACCAGGTGATCAAAACATGAAACAAGAAAAAAAATGAATTCGTCGTGTATCAAAAAATTTTTTTTTTCGAAATGTCAAAAATTAGCGGCTCAGAATTTGGTCCATTTTGGAAACAAAAAGTGCAATTATAAAATAAGCTATCTTTTGTAGATTGTAGTTCTTTTCACGCTGCATCTTGTGGTATATATTGTTTTTTTAAAACAATATACTAAGTGATGAAAAAATCAAATGGAAAAAGGCCGTTTTTTTTGTCCGAGGGAGACAATAGTCAATTACTTATTTTAAAAATGAAAATCACTAAATGTATATGTAATATAAAAATATATAAGAGGAAAATTACACCAAAAGTTTTTACTGTAGTTGTCACGTGTTTTACTTGAATAAGCTGAAAGAAAACCACAACAAAGAATTTTTGCTTTTTTTAAAATTTAAGTGTCGAGCAGAAATATAGATGGAATTTTAATATGGAAATGGAATAAAGAAGTCTGTATTTTTGAACACCATTCGCAATGCTCATAGTCGACGAAAGGTTTAGAAAAAAATGTTAGCTAAATATGTTAAAATATCACTAAGATTACATGGCAATAAGAACATTATTTTGGTCCAATAGAACCTGGGTGTGGGCGTGAGTTTCGAGTGAGGGCGTGGATGTGGATGTTGGTATTAGTTTCACACCCACACCCACACCGACATGCAGTACCCTCAAATAACTATCTATGAGTAGGGGTGGGAAGTTCCCGTTACGTTCCCGGGTAACGGTAACTTTTCTGTTACCAGTTACCCGGGAACGGGGTAACGGTCGGTTACCCCGTTCCCAGGTAACTGGTAACTTTTCCCTTACCAGGTACCCGGGAACGGTAACGGCCCGTTACCAGTTACCTGGGAACGGGGTAACGGAAAATGCTCTCCCTCCTATTTTCATTATGAAAATGATTTTTGAAAAAAAAATTTTTTTTCGAAATTTTTTTTAATGCAGAAATAGACTTTTTGTGAAAAAATAATTTTTTTCGAAAACACCCCAAAATTTTGTTGTAAAAAATTTTGTTTACTAAAAAGATTTGTTTACCAAAAGATTTTTTCAAAAAAGATTTTTATAAAGAAAATAGGAAGGAGAGCATTTTCCGTTACCCCGTTCCCAGGTAACTGGTAACGGGCCGTTACCGTTCCCGGGTACCTGGTAAGGGAAAAGTTACCAGTTACCTGGGAACGGGGTAACGGACCTTTACTCCGTTCCCGGGTAACTGGTAACGGAAAAGTTACCGTTACCCGGGAACGTAACGGTCTGGTAACGGTAACTTCCCACCCCTATCTATGAGTTCTCAGTAGTTATCTACAATCTTCTGTGATGAAACACCTGTGACGTGTGAAATTACAATCACATGAGAGATATTTATTGTATTGATCATCAGCCTTTTTGCAAGGGGGAAACAGCTGACTTAAAGACTTCGAAAGACTTTAGAAGACTTCAGAAGATTTCAGAAGATTTTAAAAGAATTCAAAGGACTTCAAAAGACTTCAAAAGATTTTTCAGACTTCACAGGACTTCATAAGACTTCATGAGACTTCACGAGACTTCATAAGACTTAATGAGATTTCATGAGACTTCAAGATACTTCAGAAGACTTCAATAGACTTCGAAACTGTAGAAGTGTTTAAGAAGCTTTAGAAACCCCGTGAACAGAGGTGTGTCAAATTATGGACATCGTATCTCAAAATTCTCAACCTAATTTTATCAGCCTGAGAATTAGCACTCCTTCCTGACTATTTTTCAGAAGTTTATTTTATATTTTATCAGAATTCAATATATTATACCTGAGATACCTCTCAGGCATCAAAAGAAAAATTTTCCACCGTTTTATTAGAAATTCTTGTAGGTTGATAGAGTTAAGTGTGTTTGTTAGAAATATCACATTTTTTTTGAAAACTAGTCGGATAGGAAGAAAGATCTGAAATACTTTCTGAAAGTCCCAAAACATAATTT